CTATAGAACAAAAACAAAATGTTTTTGGGTCGTTTCAAAATACTGTGTCAATCACTTCTTCTTCAAATATTACCTTTTGAACTCAAAACTCTTTCTAAAGACATTTTCATTTCTTTTGAATGTGTCTTTTGTACGTCGTACCACCAATAGTCTCACCTACTCAAAGAACACCGTGCTTTACGATAATTGTGCCAAATTGAATAGTACCTCATAAAAATTTATAGACAAGGTAAATGCTTATGAAGATTCTTAGCCTGGTGATGACACATCCAAGAACGTATTTCAGGGATCGGGGAACACCGAAAAATCGTCATGCTTAGTCTAAATTACAAATATCTTGTACTACAACATAACTTATTTTATTAATGCCTCATAATCGCGCGCACTTTAAAATGCTATTCACCGCCACTTTTTTAACTGTGTGATAAATGAGATACTGAAATAGATAAAAGTGTTGGAAAAGTAATACAGTTTTTGTATAATCGGTTCAAAATGCAAAAAAAGCCATCAACTGGGAGTTTAAACTCTAATCAGCCAAATCGGAAAAATATGAAACTCCCAATCCATGCTATAGGCTTAATATACACTTATCAGGAAATCCAAATCCAAAATCTTATTTTTTCTGGAGGCTAAATACTTGGGAATATTTATAAGTCAGCTTTACAATAACGTATCATGTTCGGCAATGACTTTTTCCAATGTCACCTACATAAGCTGTGTGATGAAGTCAATATTTCAGCTGGTTTCATATTATAAAATAAAGACGAAGGAGAATGGTTTTATGTAATTGACATGTGTACACGTAAACGAATTGGATAATTTGTTTGGATTAGGCAAACTGAAATGCATCTGCCGATCAAAAAACTGCGCACAAATTTGTATTAACTTCATCTTCGCTTCTAAAAAGATTAGGAATGTAGTAACGAGTCTCCATAATAAACAAGTTTACCGTGTGAAAACGGATCGTCTTATCTAATTTCACCTACTGGCAATTAATTTACTGCATGATATTAATAAACTGCTGAATAACACGAATTATTTCAATTTTCAGATGATTAATGCACTTATGAATGATGGAAAGTATGGATATTGCATGAAGTTTGGTTACTATTTTGTGCACGTATTTCTTTACCTGTGTGACAGACTCCTTTTTGGATGCCACATAACGCCCATGTACAAATAGATATATTATTGAATAATCGTAGATATTTTCACTGAAAACTGATTATCATTCATTGGAGCGTAATTAATTCTGTTATTATCACAATCACGATGTAGTAAGTTATAAGAAATTGAAGAAACTTTCCGGGTGAACACAAACTTTCATTCATCCAACGTTAGTATTAATTCATGAAGTAGATTGTCTAATCTGTCAATAAAAAGATAAACTTATCGATTTATCGTAGGAACACAGAGTTATTACCAGTCATTTACTTTATTGAAGTTGAGATATGTGATTAAAACGTGGAATTCGTTTTCATACAGATTTAGTTTGAAGGAAGTGAGAAAAAAGAAATTTAATCGAAATTTTGTTCAGAATCGGATATCTTAAGAACCATATTTTTAAATCCCTAGGGTTTAAAATTGTACGGCTATGATCCAGAAAGCTGCTTTTTAAGAAAACATTCACAATTACTGTTACTTTTTCAGTCAGCTTATAATACCGTAAAACATATCAACAGGAGTCTATAGCCTTCCGGGTATGTCAGAGGATTTCAACATGCGAGTTTTGAAAACATGTTAGGAATTAAATTTACAACAGTGTTTCGGTTGAGTAATCACAAACAGGGTTTCATTGTTCGGTCATCAATACAGGCAAATAACTGGGCAGTTTACAACAGTTAAAATGAAAACTGATACCATGGGCTCAAATGCAACCGCAAGGTTTAAACTAAATGCTACCATCAAACCCAGCATAAGTTATTAGTTAACTTCCTTTCCAATTTAATGTATTATAACCGGTTTCGGGTATGACATCACAGCATTTTCATCATTTTGCAAAACATCTATTGCAGTTCGCTTTTCAGTTTAATTCATGAACAGCACCTGAAATACTTAGTATGGTTCAACGAATTTTACTTCTTTGCAATCACACACAAAAACTTAACATCTTTTGACGGCCAACACCCTTTTTTCGTAAGCTTCGAGCATAAATATATAAATATATATCCGTATACACATACAAATAATCATCCTACGTACATATATCCATAGCCGGCTGACATAAAGAAACTTCATTTTCAACATTATATCATAACTAATGTAAGTAGTATGCAATTAATATAGTGACAACAAGCTTTGGCTGCTTAATATATATTTCTTTTAAAGCTGTGTTCGTTGTTTAACCAGTAGGTTTACCTAGCTTGTTAAATAGTTAGAAATGAGAGGAAAAGTATAAAGTGTGTCAATGAAATGTTGCATACAGTGTAGAAAATAAGGTTTATTGAACCTCGTTATTTGTTTGAACCCTTTACAGTAGTTAAAACATTAAATCAGCTGGGTACCTTATTGTTACTGCTCCAAGAATAACTATGCTGTCTTTCATGTTTCAACTTATTACTCCAAACTTGCAGTATCAAAACAAATTCATTAAATTTCATCCTGCTTAGTTTTAAGTAGCATACACTACGATAAAATAGTTGCCTATTGCTTTTCATCTATATTTTTTCTCATTTTACATGTCAGACATAAGCCGTCCCAAAAATTCCACATCCCATAAAATCACGGGATACACGGAGAATTTTAAGACGCCATTAAGACACTCAAAGTTCTGTAGTAATTTTTAAAAGAAAATGTAATTAAACCTGGCTTTGTTGCCTCGATTTCAATGAAGCTGCACAATTTCATTAAAAATTTACTGAACTGCAGTGCAATTATCTCTGTAATTTTTAGTTAAAGTTTTCGGTGCTAATAATTTACTTGATATTAATTGCATTCAAAGGATAAAAAATATAGGTATTGGTAAACAGAAGAATAATGCATACTTTCAAAGTAACTTGAAAAATTTCGTCACATGCTTACTGTTTCATCAATGCGTTTCATTTTCTTAACAATTTACTCAATATGGTTTCCATAATGGGTTACTGGTAATAGATTTGCCATTTGGATACCACGTGGTTTAAATATTTCACACTCATTAAGTGCGTCACATTGTGTTGCAGTATTGTTAATTGAAATATATCTTTAAAAATTCGACCACAGTCACATTCCTTGATGTGACTGAGAATAAACAGATTTATTCGGAAAAGCATTCAGTAAATATTGTTGCTTGAATAAGTGTCCGTCTGGTTAAAGCTAAACATTTAGATGAAGGTTATTTTTGCATGCTTAATTTTGTTGCAGTTTACTACCACACATTAGGTAGATATTGTCAATTCCTCTTAACAACAATAGTTTCCCCTCCCAATGTTCTCCGGAGCTATGGGTCATAAACTTGTTAGGACTTAATTGCATTTCCGAAAAGGAACCGTTATTAGTTTTCTCTAGCAATTAACCTAATTCCTTAACTTCTACGCTCTTTTACACTGCGTTTTGCTATACTATAGGTGCTTCACACCGGCTTTCAAATACTTGATTTCAGACCAGCGAATAATCCACAAGGTTACTTACATTCTGTCTCACAGTATTTTGTTGCTACCCCTGGCAAACTTTAGAAGATGCTCAATCACTCACTGTTTACTGTAATCCTGATTTTGCTTGTCTTTCGAATTGTTATTATAGTCGTTTGCTAGACCCCACTAAGTTTATCTACTGATTAAACATATTTGCAGTGAAATTCGGTTGCAATCTTGATAATTTAGCGATCAGCTGATGGTTACTGCAGATAAACCGGGGTTAGAAGATCAAGCTGGATGATTTTTATGAAATAAGTGTTCTTTGTCTTTTCAGGTGAGGTATTTAATAGACATGTTTCTGTTACCGATAAGCAATATATCTAGGGAAATATTTCAAAGGTCCCAGTGACATTTAGTGATGTAGACTAAAGTTCCATTATAATGTGACCGGAAATCACTCGAAATAAGTTGTTGGTTGTCAAAATTGGTGTGTCATTTCCTAACTTACAGCTGCCACTATCCATCAGAACATTTTAAACTGCGAGGTGAATGTTGACTCAACTCATGATTTAGCTTTTTTGCTGGTCAGATAGCTTAACATATCTAGATCAAATTATTGTTTATGCTGTTTTACAATACACTGTCTGTGTTTAAAAGATGGCGCTAACAAAAGTCTAAACATTGAAATGAAAAGTTACAAGTAGTGATACTGTTTCACAATTTTCATCTAGATAAGCAGTCTTACATCTTTCTTTTGAAAGTGAATATGGTTTCCGGTGTATATTTGTTTGACCAGATTATTGATTTGAAAGACAAAAGAGTTAGGATGTCATAATGATAAAGAAAAAAACAGCTACTTCTAGAGTTGCTTTGCGAAATCAAGAGTAATAATTTCAGGTAAACGACTTTCATCTTTCGTCTGCTAATAAGCTTCTTGACTAAACAAGACCATTAAAAGAACATGGAAGAAAGCATTAAACACCTTATAGGCAAAGGAAGAAATATATAAATTCAGCAGTTAAATATTAAACATAGTACATCGCAAATGTTTTTTTCATGCGACCTTTCATTTTCGTTTGCTTTAAAGGAGCTCAGGATGTCATCGTTACCTTCTGATGATTAATATAAAGTTAAATACAACCTGAATTACTAATTTACCGCTTTGTAGAGACTTCTATTAGCACTTTTATGTGTTAGTTTATTTTTACTGGCTAACATTAAGAAGGATGTGAACAGTTGCGAAAGATTTGCATAGTGAATTAATATCAGCCTAGTAAGTTCACCGGTTAGGACTATCAAGGTGAGATTTATTTTTACTTTTGAACCATAAAAAAATTCTTTTGTTTAAGTTCTTAAACTGTAGAAACTTATAAATTCATTTGAAGCGAAATGTGCATTATTGGTACCATATTTATATTGTCTGTAACTTATCCTTTGCATTCTCAGATATCCCCTTCCTAGTCGATATTTACTGTCTCTTAAGGCATTTCGAAGAAGGCAAACATATGGTTACAGACGAAAGTGTAAAGAAGATTCAAATCTCCACTCAAGTTTTTGTTCAATATATAATTACAAAAGTTATCCTGAAAATGAAGAAGAGAAAAAGCATTTTTATGAAAGATCACTTAATGACCAGTGTGGACGGAATGTAAGTTGTCATTATAACGTTTTTTTTAGTTATCAGCTTGAAAACATTATTGATTTGTACAAAGAAAGTACCACATTACTTAGGCCAGACTGAATACTATTTTGATGACCTCTTATGGCCTGAGGATATCATACAGATGACTTTATTCACATGAGAGGATTGGGAAGCTGCTGGAAATGTAAAATTCAAAAAACACGAACAATGTTATTCTTACAACACAACACACCTTGTCTGCATAGTCAGTATATCTTGTTATTCAAGATGACAACCAGTTTTTCTAATATGACTTTAAGCTAGTGAAAGTGGTAAGTCGTATATATGAGAAAAATATATCCGCTGGAACCTGGAGAAGTAGAAAAATTGGTTACATCCGTGAATTAGAGCCCTACAGATTATATTATTGACGCATCCTGGATTCCACTGCTAGCCACGATTCATCACAGATAAAATTAGACCACAGGCAATATCGAGGCATCCTCACAGGAATTCATATTCAAATAGAGACCGACCAATTCGGTCCAATCAAAGACGGTATGATAAAAAAAACAATTATACTCACAGATTATAGTTTGTTTAGGTAAGGAATAAAGCATCACAATGATGAAAATATGGGCTTAGCGGTAACATTACAAAATGGTTCTTATAAATGAGTTAGAGGGTAGAAAATAGATTACTATCCAGGAAACAAAACAATACAAAACTCCAGTCTAAAATTCTACATAAAAAGCAATTCTAATCGTATTCTGTAATTGATATCTAGAACATCAAAATTTCACCAAGCTTGTCACTTGATATATTACATTGCAAAAGCTCATGCCGTTGGCAGCATAGATATTTTGACATCTAATGAGATAACTACAGTAACTCTCCTCGACGAGAATGACCACACTCAAAATACGGAGTTGCCATTGAATTTTGATGCTGTTTGTGCACACCACGAATAACTCTCGTCTTCAGACCAACTTCAAGTGCTTGAGATACATTGACGAGATGCACTCAGTGGGCTAAAATCACGTATTCTACGGAGTAAGGTTGAAGCTAACAGGAAACAGCTGCATCAACTAATGGAAGAATTATTTGCAGATAACAGGAGCAGGATTTGACCCGACCAAATGAAATCCCTTCAGCCTTAACCTGGTGTCTCACATAGGAGACGAATTCATGAAATCATAGTGATGTTGAGAAGTGAATTCGTTTGCAGTCTAAAAGCCATGCATATTATCGAGAACGAATCAGATTACATAGATTCTACCTGCACATCAGGACTGGACGACTTGGTTTTCTTTATCAGTTATTAGTCCATGAGTTTAAGGCGAGTAAGATGTAGTGTATGGCTGTTGTGATTGCCTGTGAGGAAAATAATGTAAACGTAAATGAGAGATATACTTCTTTTTCGTCAGCGTATATTGTAGTTGAGGTTGTTGTGTGCGGCGTGTTATAATTGGCAGTCTAGTTAGCTGAGGAGGCTTATATTTTTCTTTTCTCGAGTGTATGATGAATCTGGTCAATATGAAATGTGTAGGCATTCCTGAGTGATTTTGGATAGTTTGGAGGTGGAGTTAGTGGTTGTGATGGATGATATTGAGAGGAATTGCAGATTTATTTTGAACATTGTCCAATCCTCTTGGATAATCATTTGTATGTGATTTGTGTAATTTGTATGTACTTTATTTCGACTGAGGTTTTAGGCTATTAGTTGACCTAGTTGGTCCTGTCGGTAGTTATGTGTGTTAATTATAATTGTACCATTGATCTAATATAAGGCAATGCTTAGTATTTGACGTCTTCTATCAAGTTCAAGTCTTTTTAAAATGTTATTCTTCAGTTGTTTCATGTCGGAAATCAGGGATTATTATGTCAATCCTAGAGTTGTTTGATTATTGCTTTTGACTTGGATATTCATACTTTTCGATTTTTGAATGATATCTTGGGGTCGTGTGAATTGTCTATTGTTTTTTGTTCTTCCGTTTCTCGGTATTTATTTCTGATACGACCTCCAGAATAGACTGAATTTAAGGGAATGCTTAACTCCAGGCTGAAATCAGGATACCAACTATAATATGTTTTTGGTTGATATTCTCTGAGTGAATACTTATTAATTTCTCGTTTTGTTATGAAACATAGTACCTGAGACAGAATTTATTTAAGGCTAGTAGTGATATCCTCACTCCACTGATTTACTCACAGATAAAAGGATAGTTTAGTGAGTAACCGAAAGTTTTAGAGACAGTGTACATTCTGCTATTCATTATAAGAAATCCGAATTCAGTAGCTGGTTGGTTATACGCTACATTTCATAAGCCTTCAATTATACTATCTATAAACGTTATTTTCACCTGAATTTTGGAATTTCCATTATTTAGATAGAGTTAAATTACTTTCTTATAGAAGATTAATTTGCGTAAATATATTTAAGGCTTTTTATAATTAAATTGGGTAGAAATTAATTTTAACTATCAGTTGATTGTCATGTAACACTGTCATCAGCATGTCAGCAAACGAATGACATTTTCTGTTGTGAATTAGTAGTACGATGCACTGGGAAAAGAAATTTCAGAAATATTTTGTGATTGACAGGATATTAAATTTACTTTTGTTTGCCTACTTAGAAGTGAATACTATTAATAACCAGGGTAGTAAGAGGTAGTTCGGCTGGATGAAATAGCTTACTCATAAAATCCCACTACATCCATAAAAGTTGGAACCTTGTAAATAACTGAATGGTTAAATTGATATCTCTTTGTGTTTTAACTTATTTAGTGGCCAGCGGTAGTCGTGCAGTTTGTGCTACTTAATACTCATGGATTGAATTTATCTGCCCGCGTTAATTATGATGCTCAAACTGAGACTCAGACCTCCTACCTAATGCTTCAACTTCCATAGCGTTAACCACTAGGTCACTGAGGCGCTGAAGCTGCAACAGATATCAGTTGTTATTTATTGATACTTATAAACTACATCATAAGGGATATTCTAGAAGTATTAAGGCATCCGTATAGGAACCCATCTACCAACAGAAGTCGAGCGATTCGGTCCAGTATAGCAGTGATATTTACAAGTATCAGTAAACATTAACTGAAACCTATTTTCATCAAAAGTTGTGATTTATTGTACTTCGCATCACAGTGTCTCTGTACTGTAATTCAAAGGTTTTTTTACAAACTACTGGACTTAAAATTGTCTTTTCATTAAGGAGGCCATTATTTTTAATGATAATGTACAGAAAGTTTTGATATTGCAGTCAAAGAAAAGTATGCACTGAGAGGCATTTCACATCATTAGCAGTGAAACGAAGAAATTTTGATGAGAACTGACTGAAATAATTGTGAACAAGTGTTATGAAAAAACTGCTTTAAATACTAGAATGTGTAAGAGAATTCGAATAACGATCCTTGAAATTTTCTTGATCTTTAAATATATTCGGGTTAAAGTACTTCAAGCCTAGAAAAAAATCTTTCGTCGAAAAATGCCCCTATATGGTAAAACATACTACTGCATGCTGGACTGCCAACTTTCATTCGTTATCAGTAAAAATGAAACTTGTAATTTATCGTTTCCTTCTCATATGCGACTTTCATTAAAAATTCACTATGTTTGTCATCTTTTCAAGCATGAAAAACTTGTTTTCTTTTCACATTATATATTTCGAACATGTCCCATGAACATGACACATTATTTCTTCGGCAAACGTTTCATATTTCTACGCATTCATATAGTAAAATTTGGCAATATTATAATTCCGAAACAGATAAAGTGCTTTTTAGCAATAAAGTTACACTTTTGAATTTCAAGCAACAGACTCCCACTAAGTAATGTACTTCTCTCAAAGTCATTATAAGACTAGGATTTCTCCAAAACAGAAAATGATAGGACCAATTCAATGAAAAAACTCAAACTAATCTAATCAAAATGGAAAGATAACTGGATATACTTCGCTATATCTAAAGTTGCACACTGCACTCAGGTGAGATCTTCGATATGACACTGACACAATATTTGACCTGTGATAGGAAAGAACCTGATATATGTATGCTTAAAGATAGCCATAGTAAAAAATCTACCGAATTCGTAACATCAGAACTATGGTAACTGTAAATTCACTGATAATAAACATGCTTTCAAATGGTCTTCATGCTTTTTCATATATTATTATGGCTGGACTGAGTTCAAGTAGTACCAACAACTATCTGAATTTGTGTACAAAGAATATAAAAGTGATTATGAAGCCATATGAAGCACCATAGAATACCCCGGTTATGTTTTTTGTAGCAAGTGACTTTTACAGTACTAAATCCACAAAGTTAAGGGTATTCGTATGTTACACTAGTGTTTGGGAAGTGATTTTATCGACCTTGGGTATAGTCCACTTGAAAATTTAGGGGAGGAGATTTTTCGCATACCTTAACTTCTTTGAATTTAAATTTCGCTCGGTCACGCTGGTTGTCGACATCTGTTAGAGTGAAATCGTGCTATTTGTTACTGTCACACTGTGGACAATGATTGATTCACTTGGCCACTAAGTCGAATTTGTGACCATGAGCATCTGCTTGGATTTAAATAAATTAGCCTGCGTCATGTGACTTTACTGCTAGTTCGTGCCTTTTAATATTTTCAGGGATGCGATGACTAGGCCAACCACCATAGTATATCGGACCAAAATTACAGTCGATTTTGTGGGTTAAATTCATTCTGTCTTCTCCTGGTGGCAGATCATAAGGCTTTCACAATATGCCCTATTGGACCTTCGGTGGTATGTTTTCTGCGCCAATCCAACTTCTGAGACACCTTCAGTGTGGGGTGGTATGACACGTTTATTGATTTGAGGTAACTGCCCTGTCTTCTATTCTGCTACGAAAAACATATTTTGATAGATTTGACGAGATAATCGTTGGCTGTGAATACTTTGTACCGGTGATTCACTTCCACTTTTTATAGTGTTTTGATACTGCATTGTGGTTTTACTCTTTACTGTACTTATACTACGTTTCTGATGGACCGTA